CGCCTGTACCCGCCGAAAATCGCAACCGCTCCGTTTGCGGGTAACGGCGGTGCAACCAGTCGCTCCCTTAATAACAAAAATAAGTAATCTTGACAAGTTTTTTCTCTCTCTCTCTATATATATATATATATAATTATATAATGCAAGATTACATTGTGACAGTGGGTTTTACACGATTGGGACGATGAAGCATGCATAAAGTTACTGAAGAAATGCAAAGAAGCAGTTCCTAAAGAGAAAGGGAAAGTGGTAATAGTGGAAGCTGTGTTGGGAAATAAGAAGGGCGACAAGTTAGAGTATGCGAGACTGATGCTGGATATGGTGATGATTGCTCATACGACCAAAGGCAAAGAACGGACAATGGAGGAATGGGATTATGTTCTTACAGAAGCTGGATTTGTTCGGTATGAAGTGCGAGACATTAACGATGTTCAGTCTGTCATCATCGCCTACGTTTCTTAGCATAAGGAAGAGAGACTCGTGCATGAAGACGAACGTGAAGAGAAAATCATGCAGATCCCTAATGTGCCCTCGAAATAAAATAAAATAAAAACTCAAAGTTGGTCGTTTTCACAAATTAATATAATTAAAATCCATTATGCTTTCATTATGTTTACTATTTTAAAAAAACTTTGTGATATAAAACAACTGCGATCTTCGAGGGAAGATTCTCGCACTGGGTTCAAACCCAAGCGTGGGGAGGGACATTCACCTGGACTTCCCCGATCCTCGGAGAGATGTAGTCGGGTAAAAGGTCCGGTGAACTTCCGGATTATAAAAAAAAAAAAAAAAATTCTAAGGGAAGATCCTTACATCCCTCCGACATGGGAAACCCTAACAGAATAAAAAAAAAGGACTGATAAATCGGGTTTTGGTATTATATTAGATTTAAGATAATTCAAAATAGATTTTGGATTTTAAATCATGAAAATATAGATTTGTATACCCTTTTCAATCTAGCAAACGGAACCAAACCGGCTTATAATCCGGTTCTGATGGATTATATTTTAACCAAGTATAATGTACTCGCATGAAAAGGATAGTAAAATGATGATGTTCAATGGCCGTTGTTGCTTAATTATGGCTCTTAGTGGCAAAATGGAAAAAGAAGATTCTGAAAAAGGAAAATATTTCTATCATTTATGATTGCGATAGTGGCAGATTACCTAAAACGGATGTTAGAAATTGTCTAAACCAAAACCGTCGGGATAATAAAAACATAAAACACCAAATTAATACATTTCTTTTTGTTAACGCAAAACCGATAAAATAATGAAAGAGAGAAAAGCATTTAATGTCGGCCCATAAAGGCACCTTTATTCACTCTGTGCATTTTACTCCTACACGTCTCTTGCTACTAATGAGATTTCAAATCCAAAAACCCAATCCAAATTATTTGGATTCGTCATTAATTAAACTTTAAAAATAAAGTAAATTTGTATTTCATATATATAATCTCTGTTTTATTTGTTTTGTCTTGTTTATTTTCGTTTTATTTTAGACTACATAGTCACCACAAACCGGTTCGTAACCAAAATGTTTTATTTTTTAAAAAAGAATTTTTTTTTCTTCATGTTTTTATTTGAAATGTATGTTTTTTTTTCATGTTGACTAGGAAAAAGTACATCTAAAGAAAGTAAAAAGCATCATCCTTCACAAAAGTTTTGTTAGAAGTGCTACATAATTTCTTTTGATCACATTGTGAGAAAATTTTAAATTCAGAATAATCATGTTTATCTTTTGAGATTTCTGATGGTAATTTGGATTAGTAGACCTTATCATTAACTGCTACTCAGTACACTAATTTTAACCAAGTGATGAATTTATTCTGATGATAATGGAATCATTAATGAAATACCAAATATAACATAATATTTAAAATAATGCAACTACATTGTCAATTAATTACGTTTTCAATTCTAACATAATTTATTTGTTCAAACTTAATTTTTAACATGGGTTTCTCTAGAAGACACAAAAATAAATTTTCGAAAATTTTCGAATATCAGAATCCAAACCTAAACTAACAAAAATGGAAAATTATATCCCAATTCGAATCCAAATATTTGGCTACTTCAAAAATATTTGGAAATCCACTCGTGTATAAAACCGAAAAAAAATTAGGTTAAGAGATAATTTTATAAATAGTTCAATGAATTTCACAGATAAGTCTTAGGTTTAAAGTGTTTTTGTGAAGGAATCGGATAACAATTTATAAACAAATGTGGTGGATCTAAGATATTGTTTGGTTTTTTAATATTAGATCAAAACGTAAAGTAATCTGGGCCGTTTTTTTTTCATATTTCTAATTTAAATTCTTCCATACCAGCTAGCTGAAATTATAAAAAACCGTCGATTACTTTTGTTTCCAAGGAATATCATTCATTATCAAAGCGAAACGTTCCATCGATAGTGACAAAACCCTCAAAAGAAGAAAAGATTACTTTCTCTCTGTTTGTACAAACCTTCACATCGATGGACTCACGGGCCACCTAAACACACCAAACCTCATCTCCTTCACTCAGCCACAACCACTGGTTGGAGAAACCCTACAATGGAAGAAGAAGAAGCAAGAGCTTCGGTGGATATATGGAGATATGTGTTCGGATTCACTGACATGGCCGTCGTGAAGTGTGCCATCGAGCTCAAGATTCCAGAAGCTGTCGAGAGCCATCCGTCACAGCCCGTCACTCTAGCCGAGCTCTCCACCGCTGTCGCTTGCTCTCCGCCCCTCCTCGGCCGTATCATGAGGTTTCTTTCCCACCAAGGCATCTTCAAAGAAGTTATTACCAAAGATGGCCTTGTCGGCGGCTACTTAAACACACCTCTCTCTCGCCTCATGATGAGCTCGAACCGTGACGACAAATCAAAGGCTCCTTTGATTCTCATGGAGAGCAGCCCCGTGATGCTGGCGCCGTGGCTGAAGCTGAGTGCCGTCGTCTCCAACGCTGCCACCGAGGAGGGCTCGCAGCCCTTTGAGGTGGTGCACGGGAAGGATGTATGGGCCTACTGTGCAGAGGATCCGAGACACAGCGAGATGTTCAACGAGGCGATGGCTTGTGATACAAGGCGCTTGGTCCCTGTGATCGCCGGCGCATGCTCGGACGTGTTCGAGGGGGTGTCGACGGTGGTCGACGTTGGTGGCGGGAAAGGTGACGCACTGGGGGTTTTGGTGAAGGCGTTTCCATGGATCAAAGGCTTCAACTTTGATCTTCCTCATGTCGTTGAAACTGCTCTAAAGTTCGATGGCGTTGAAAACGTTGGAGGCGATATGTTCGAGCGTGTTCCTAACGCCGACGCGGTTTTCATCAAGGTTAATTATTTCATGTATATAGTTACCAGTCTCATCACAATGACAAAAAAGTAACCTTAAAGTTTTCTCTGTATCCCCTGCATTTGCCACCACTACGTACGTAGGAAGGAGAGTATAGTCTAATATATATATATACAAAGAAGTTGTATATATAATGCATGATTGTATTGTGACAGTGGGTTTTACACGACTGGAACGATGAAGTATGCATAAAATTACTGGAGAAATGCAGAGAAGCGATCCCCAGGAAGGGAGGGAAGGTGGTAATAGTGGACGCTGTGGTGGGAGAGAAGAAGAAGGGCGACAGGTTAGAGTACGCGAGACTGATGCTGGACATGGTGATGATGGCTCATACGACCAGAGGCAGAGAGCGGACACTGGAAGAATGGGATCATGTTATTACCGAAGCTGGTTTTGCTCGGTATGAAGTGCGAGACATAGACGATATTTCATCTGTTATCATCGCTTATGTGTCTATATAGATATGTATTGTCCCTCCTCAACATCCCTTGCTCACTGAAGCAGGTCTCCCCCGATCATGATCCAGTAACACAAGAAGACCTTTCATCCCTCCAAATTCCCCAAACTCAGGTTCCCCTATCATCATCTCATATTTCTCTGCATAGGGAATGCATGTCTGGTTCGAAAGAACTTGTTCAAGACAATCAACCATCTCCACCGACATAGTTTCTACACCACCAACTATTTATCATTGTCAACATTCTGTTTTGATTGGGACGAAGAATTAGTGGCAGAAACGCAACGAATTCTACACGCTCGTTCCTCCACTGTAGCTACAACTCAAGATTTTCGGTATAACCTTCACTCTTGTGTTAATAAAGTCTTCTTTGATTTCACACTAGTCGGGAAAGGTTCGTAAGGAAAAAGGTAAACTTTAGATTTTTACTCTTGATTATAATTTTTTGAATATTTATCTCCCTGTATGTGAATGGATCATATTTTTTAGGCCAAGTGTATTGTATTCGCATGACAAAGATTGTAAAATATGAATATAATTAAATAGTGTATATAAGATGATATTCTATTCATTAATAGTATTCTAACTAAATTGTCAGTTAATTAGGGTTTATTATGAATTTATTTTGACTCAGCAGTAGCGTTGAGCTAATAAAATCGGATTAAATTCCTTAATTTTCAACCTCATCTTGAACATGGGCCCCTACCATAAACAACTTTACATATATACATACATATATATATATATATGTGTATATAGAGAAAGAGAGGTGATAATACCAATATTCAAATAAAGAGGTATAATAATATCATCATGTAAGCCCAATCAAATATTCTAGATCAAAATTTATTATATCTAATATTAATGTTGATCACTGGTGCTTCTGAAAATTTACACAAGTTGTACATTTTAAAAGAATGAATTCCAGATAAAATATTTTGGATAAATAAATTTCATTCTTTATTATGAGAGTGTACTCTCCTTGTATTCTTTTTATCAATTATTTTTTAGATTATCCAAATCAGCATTGGAAAGATAAGATTTTTTTTATATATTCTAATTATCTAAAATAATACTTACAAATTTATGTTTTACGCAAAAACTCATTAGTGTGGATACTAGAATCTTTTGATCCCGATTTTTTTTGTTTAAATTATAGGTTATTTTTTAGTTATTTTTATATAGATGGGAAATTTTTGGTAGTTGCTTTAATTTTAATTTTTTTGGAATGTTTTGTCTGAATAAGAACATTAAAATAAATTCAATACACGTAAAAATAAATGATCCTCCATCTTTTTTGTCAATTATTTTTATTTGGGTAAAATCCCTAAAAAATCTTCAACTTGCAAAAATATATACAAATAAACTTTGAACTTGAAAAACTGTCATTCAATCCCGAACTTGTAACTTGTCACTGAATAAAACCTCGAACTTGCAAATTATTACTCTAATTAACCTTTGACCGATTTGACCACAATTTCAGGCGATCAGAAATCCACGTATTAACGGATTACTGATATCACCTTATACACGTTATCAATTTTAATTTTAAAAATGACATCAGCAATCCGTCAATACGTGGATTTCCGATCGTTTGAAATTGTAGTCAAACCGGTCAAAGGTTTATTAGAGCAATAATTTGCAAGTTCGAAGTTTTATTCAGTGACAAATTACAAGTTCGGGGATTGAATGACAGTTTTTCAAGTTCAAAGTTTATTTGTATATATTTGGTGTTTTACCCTTTTTATTTATTATTCTTACTAGTATTTTATAACTAAATATCAAATATTATTAATAGAATATTGGAGAAATAAATTATAAATACACCCAAGTTATTATATTAATTTCTTGTGAATTGGATCTCAGAGCATTTCGAATTCGAGCACTTGGGGATCTAAGATTCAGCCTCAGACAATCTCACGCCAGCGACGCCATCACTGTAATCTCTTCCCTTATTCTTCGGATTGAAAGTTCCTAGCGCGTGAAATCTTCTAATCGAACTCCATCGCCGGATTCATAGATCGAAGAAGAGAGAACCCAGAGATGTCTGCCACTGTCGGCGCCGGCGGCCGAGGAGATTGCGGCCGTTGCGACGGAGGGAGGAATCTGGATCTGTTACCGGCGGCTCTGCTGGAGACTGTCATGACGAAGCTCGACGTAGCTTCCCTCTGCTCTTTGGCTTCCACTTGCAGAACACTCAGGAGCTGCGTCTCTCGTGTCCTTACCTTCGCTCCCAACTTTCACATCTTCGTGAGTAAAATTTCACTGTTTCCTTTCCGATTCATTTCCAATTCGTATTATTGTGGGCAAATTGTCGTGTTTGGAAATGTCTGTATACCGAGTTGGTGTTCTTAGGGTTCCACGGGAAATGGATTTGATGTTCTTATAGAATCTCTGTATGGAGAAGGGGGTTCGTGATATCGAGATCGTTTTTGTCCTCTGGGAATTTGAAGCTATAAACTTGGAATGATTATGCTTGTATAGGATTAAAATTTCATGAACATCTGGTAAATAGTTTACAGGGAAGAATTACGCGATGTATGAACGGGTCTCAAAGTTTAGAGCTTGACTTAGGCTGCCATGGTTCTCGGTTTCAGAATATCGCCCTGCCGATGGAAACTGTCAGGCCATTGTTGCTTCCGAATCAGCAACTCTCAAGTCTCAAGCTTGACTGTGGACGGCTTAACAATTCAGCCATTGGCATGATGGTGCGGCCATCTTTGCAGGAGCTATGTCTTCAGAACTGCCGTTGTTTCAGCGGTGACCTTCTTTATGAAATTGGTAGGAAATGCAGGGATTTAAGGTATACATGCTTCCGTGGTTGTGGAAATTGTGACGCTTTTACTATGTTTTCGAGATCAACTTCTTAAGAACAGTGTGCCTTTTTTGATGAATTTATCATATTTTCATGTAAATCCAGGTTCCTTCGTTTGGGTTCAGTGGCAGATAAAAGTAGTCTAAGCATTAGCCGTCATGCTCTGGAGGAGTTGCTACATGGTTGCTCCCGCTTAGAGGTCTGAATTCTTAATTAACATACGCAGGAATTTGCAGGCAAATCTGTTGCGATATGTTTTTATTTTGTTTCATATTCTTCTCTTTTGTTCTACGATGGACTTTTTTTCTGGGTCTTGGTCTCATCCCGATATGCATTCTTGTCAGGTGTTGATGCTCATGTTTGACCTCTCGTTGCATTTGCGTCCTGGCGATGTTCGCATTTTCGAATCGGTCTCTGATAAACTTACTCATCTTGAGCTTGGACACATCACTTCAAGAATGATGACACAACTGCTTAGCCCACCACCTGGAATACCGGGGCAGGATAGCAGTAGGGTTCCTCCGACCATTCTCAAAAACGTTCAGCGGTTGCGCCTCTCAGTGGATTCTATTTCCGATGCTCTGGTCAGGGCGATATCAAGATCTCTTGTTTCACTGACACATTTGGATTTACGAGATGCGCCCCTCGAGGATCCAAGGCAGTTTGCGGATCTCACCAATTCTGGACTTCAAGAGATTAATCAAAACGGTAAGCTCAAGCACCTTTCTCTTATCCGCAGCCAGGAATTTCACCCTACCTATTTCCGGAGAGTTGATGATCAAGGGATGCTCTTTCTTGCTGACAAGTGCTGGGGCATGGAAAACATCTGTCTTGGTGGGTTCTGTCGGGTTACTGATGCGGGTTTCAAGACCATTCTGCACTCTTGCTCGAGTCTCTGCAAGCTTAGTATATATCACGGGCCTAAGCTAACGGATCTTGTTTTCCATGACATCTCGGCTACTTCTCTTTCGCTGAGACATGTGAGCCTAAGAAGGTGCCATCTTCTGACCGACCATGCCATTCAAAAGCTGGCTTTAAATCTCAAGCTAGAGAATCTCGACTTGAGAGGATGCAGAAACCTCGGGGATGAAGCCTTACGTGCCATTTCCCATTTGCCGGAACTGAAGGTTTTACTTCTGGATGGTACCGATGTAAGCGATGAAGGACTCTCGTACCTGAAAGATGGAGCATTGGGTTCATTAGCTTCTCTATCGGTAAGAGGGTGCAAAAATTTGACCGATAAATTCGTGTCTTCCTTATTCGATGGATCCTCTAAACTAGAGCTGCGTGAACTGGATTTGTCCAATCTACCTGGCCTCACCGATGATGCTGTTCTAACTCTGGCAAGGGTCGGAGCCCCGATCACGAATCTCCGACTAAGAGAATGTGGCCTCATAGGGGACAAATCTGTTATGGCTTTAGCTTCTACAATGGTAAGCGAAGACAAGTGTCCAGGAAGTAGTTTGGTTCTGTTGGATCTTTACGACTGCGGTGGCATCACTCAACTCTCATTCAAGTGGTTAAAGAAACCGTATTTCCCGAGGCTTCGATGGTTAGGGATCACGGGAAGTGTGAATAGGGACATTGTAGATGCGTTGGCGAGGAGACGGCCGTATTTGCAAGTCGCTTGCCGTGGAGAAGAGCTCGGGAACGAGCAGGAGGATGACTGGGACTCGGCAGACGTGCACCAACATATTGAGGCGCAAGGAGATGAGCTTGAACAGTGGATTATGGATGAAGATGGTGACATTGAAATGGAAGATACAGAAGACGAGGACATGGAAGAAGGCGGGGGCGAAGAAGAAGAAGGCGACGGATAATACAGGACGAGGCCCCGACACGGGGTGGGGTTCACCTCTAAAGAGTGGGTGTTTATCCGAATCTGAAACTGAAAGACACTGGTGTTGTTCGTGTAAACTTGATTGGTTTGATGCATCCATTATGATAAAACTCAGAAGTATGAAGGAATTGCTTTAGGGTTTCAATTCTTTTTTAGTCCAAAGCCAAAGTTTCTCATTTTATATATTTTTTTTATAGAAAAAAATCGGGTTTTTGGATCGGTCCGAAATCTTATTTGAACCCGATCTGAAAATCCGAGTTTTTTCCGGTCTATAAATTCAAACTCGAACCCCATCACCTTCGGGCAAAAATTGACATAGTTCTTTCATCCGAGACATTAAGGCAAATTAATTGCGGCCAATCTGGTGTTATATATATATATAACATTTAATTTTTGGGTAATTCAAATGTGACATTGGGTCATTGATCTTCTTTTAACCAAATGTTTCTTTTTTAGTCAACTTATGGATATTACAATTAGGATATTTTTTTCTTTTCAGTTATGTAAAACAGGATATCTAATTAACATATAGTTTTGTCCAAGTACAATATAATTTTAAAATTGATTTAAAATGACCTCTTAAATCACACTACACTAATACAAAACAAATTCTTCCTATAAAATAAATTGAATTCAAACCGAATAAAATCTAAAGGGAGTTATAATCAATATAAAAACGAATATTCAATAAGTATAATTTTCTCTTAATAATTTTAAATGTTGAAACCCAAAAAAATCAGAAATACCCACTACCAATTGTCAACACAAATTTAATATAACCAGACACAAAAATCCATGCAAATTTTATTGAAAAAAAAAAGATCTACTTCTGAAAAAAAGAAGAAGAAGATCCAAAATTAAAATTTAAAAAGAAAAACAAAGACTGACAATTCCAAAAATACCCTTAAATCAGCCAACCCTCGGAAAAAAAATCCTCGTCGTCCTCCTCCTCGTCGTCGTCATCGTCACCATCGTCCTCCGCGCCTCCCTTGCGTTTCCCGAATACCGTCCTGAGAACCGCCAAAACGATGCCGTTGAAACACCCAGTGCAACCGTACTCATTCCCTCCCATTCTGCCGCCTACGCCCACCGGCTGCAAGTACGCCAGAGCCGCCTGCATTACCAGCGGGTTCCTGATCGCCGCCCCGCCGCCGCCGATTCTTCTCCGGCCGCGTCCTTTGGACTCGTCCACCGGTGAAGCCATCGACGAAGGTATCACGTCCCTCAGGCTAGTGTACGTCACAGTTTCTGCCTCTATCGCCGTCTGCTGCTGCTCCCTCATTTTTTTTTAAATTCGCGGTTTAAAAATTATCAGATGGATGAAAAATGTGAACGAGTGGATGATTTCCGCAGTAACAGAGGAGCTCGGTTTTCCGGCGGAGATTTGTGTTTTTTCCCCTGAAGAGATAAATTTTCCAGGAATCGCCGAGAAAATCCTGCGAGGGTTTTTTGTATTTTTTTCTGTGCGCTCGGAGACTGAGCGGCAGACAGCCACGTTGGCGGCGCGTGTAGTTCACCGACTACGGCGCGTGAGGTAAGAATCAAACAGCTGTGAGTACTTGATGAAATATGGATTTTATATATTATAAAGTAGGTTAATTAATTAGTTCATAATAAAGATTAAGCGTGTGGCCAGAGATAAGCTTGGGATATCATATTATTATTACCAAAAATATGCACGATCCTTTTAGATCCGTTTGCTGTTTCAGCATGGAAATAAAAAATATAATTTTCACAAAACGAGCGAGGGTGGGTTCAACTCACCCGATTTTCTTCTAAAATTGCCATTAATTTCCAGCATCAACCTGGATAGGTATTCTGGTTTGGCCATATACACAATTAAATAATATATAATTACATCTGAATCAAATAGGATTTATTTTCATTTTTTAAAAACAAAAAATTCTAGCGAAAATATTTTATTTTAAAAAAACTATTTTTTCAAAACGAATATAAGAATCCAATGGATTAACTTTTACAAAACGGAAAAATTAAATTTACAACTGTGGTGACCTCAGCAAAGATCGGATTCTGCATCCAAATTGAAGAAATTACCAAAAATACTCTTTAAAATATCTACAGAAAAGGAACACTTAAAACCAACAAGTCTGCGTATAAATAAGACAGAACGTTCTTCAGACAAAATTTCCCTTTTCTTCAAACCTGTGGGGGACACACAAAAAACCCATAAGCCATGTGACTGTGCTTAAGACAAAACATAGAAACTCATAATTTTTTTTTTAAAATTTTATTTTGTGGAGTATAAACAGATCCAAAGCCCACACACAAGAGGTGGGATCCAAAATCTGAAACTTTCTTCGCTCTGTGGGTACACCAAATCACACCAAAATGGCAAAAACCGATCGAACAACAATCTTGCCTCATGAAACTGATCCTATCTTTCCTCAAATAACCGGAAGAAAAACCCTGAAAACGATATAATAGAACAGCAGCAGCAGCAGAAGGAAAAGAAATCCAACACATTGTCTCGAGAGTTCAACACGACCCCTGTACTCTCTCTCTCTCTCTCTGGTCTTGAATCCTTCATATTCCATAAATCTTGCAAAAAAGGAGGTGATCATATGCTGATCTCTGCAGCTCAAACTCCATGGTTTCTCCATCGTTGAAGTGAATGATGAAGAACGTATAGCCAAATAATTTCTCATCTGGGGGAAGATACACAAACAAATTGCCAATGGGGGACACTAAAACTGGCGTGTGTGCTCATCATCTTACACTTGATATCTTGCAAGCCTTTCCTTTACAGGAGGATCCAAAGCAGACATGCACTCCTCCCATGCCCCGTTTCTCAGCATCTGAATCCAAAAAAAAAAAAAAGAACAAACCCAATTCAAATCCGACATCTGTTTGACGTTCTTTTACACGAGGACGTTTAAAACTGAACACAGGGTTTGGGTTTTTCCTTTCTACCTGTTTGTAGCCATTTAGAACTTGGCAGACTTCGTTATGGAGGTCTTCGCTTCTTATTTCCTGCCCAAAAGGTAAAGGTTTGCACTGTGTCCATCAACCTATTGTTCATCATTCACTACCGAGATTCACGAAGTACGGAAATCATATTTAAGTTCTTTCGGACACTTACATGCCAACTTGCGAGGGCTTTGCACAGATGAACAAGCGAATTTACAGCCCCTTGTGGATTTACTTTGACCTGAAAAAGATACGGAGAATGCTCGTAAGGGGGCTTGATTGATAAGTACAAGTACTGAGCAAACATAGTATATAGAATACCATTGCACATAACCCTCTGAATGCATCTTCCTTCTCGATATCATCGCGTATCCTGAAAAGAAAGCATTGGTGAGGGATTGTTTCTATGAGCAGGATAAGAGTTGGAGATTTATGAATCCACATCCAACACAAAAGTCTACTAACATTGACAATGCAATGCACCATGGTTGCATGAAGTGCTCCATGTGAGGTGCAACAAGGTCTGGACGAACCCATGCGAGTCTCCCAAGGGTGATTGCACTGTTTTCAATCAATGACTTGTGTATATTCTGCTCCACAACAAAGAGAACAAGATCAGATAGTAGGCATAGTCATGTCTGCCGATAAAATCAGACAGGACAGAAGCATTCTAGATTGTTTAGGGTTACTGGAGTCACCTCTCCATGCTGAAGAATCAGGCCAAGGCAAGAGACGACATTTATCACAACGGGTGAAACTTCCTGGCGGACCTGAAACGTATAGTTTTCTATTGTTCAACAGTCTGCCTAATTTAAGAATGAAGAGTGGAAAATTCAATCTCGGTATGGCTTTTCTTTTAAAAGAAATCTGATATCTTGTAATACCTTGACGGCTAACTCTCCAATGGCCCAGCAGGCATTATTTGCAACAGAAATGGTATCTCTAAGGAGGTTTATATTCTGTACAAAGCATAATAGAATCAAAATTCAAAAGAGAAGGATAATAGGTGAGAGAAATACAACTTAGATACCAACCAGTTGCTTGCTTGCAATATCAAGGAATTCACTCAAGCGAGGATGCAGGTAAACAGGGCATACCTGTCAGTGCATCAAAAACCCAACAATGACACAAGTAAGATTACAATGGATCTAATGACTGGCTTCTAATCTCATGTAACCATAAACTATTCTCAAACACACACTCCGTAGCTCCTTTGCCTTAAAGCTTCTAATTTAAAGTCCATTAGAGTATGTATGCAACTTACTCTTGCAAGGTCACCAACAAGAGCAAAAGCACTTTGTCTCACATCAGGAGCTTCATCCATACAACAATTGAGAAGCATATCCCTCAGATTACTTTGTGACACCTGCATTATAGCAAAAAAGGTGAGAATATATCAGATGATATGAATCGCCCAATAGAATCACGGAAAGGTTTGTCTGACCAAAGCCTGATCTGTAATGGACAGACAACTACAACAGGCATCCACCACTAAAATCATTCTATAGCAATAATTTTAAGGAAATCTGAACATTGTTCAGTGTCAGAGACCCATTGGGTAGAAAACTGCAATTCAGGGAAAAGAAAGTACCAGAGACTCTATCCCAATGCCAAGCCCTTCTGAAAGTCCAGAAAGTAAGTCAAGAGAACAAACAATGAATTCTTTGTCATATTGAACCCCAGCTGAAGCAGGATCAACCTGTAAACATATCCAAGCAAGCTTAATGCAAACAACAAACAAAAGCACGTTCTCGTAGCTGTATCGGCTCCAGTAAAATATTAAAAAGCTGTCACTAATCGAATGCAAGAATGTATCACTTATATCTAGCTGAGGGAAACAATGGGCAAGAAATAACTGGAGAAAAATGCTATTCTTCGATGATGAAAACTTTCAAAGTTTATGATATGGAACCTTAGCAAGTTGTTGAGACTGCAGGATATCCATGCATCTCTGGAAAACAGACGGAGCAAATTGAGAGAACCCCACACCTAAAGCCTGCAAGAAGTAGGAAAAACCCGTTACATATAGACAGTTTATGTTGCAGTTCAGGCTCTTGTTAATAAAAAGGATGATGAGACGAATCAACTGATATACTAATGGCTATATCATATTTCCGAGATTGGAAATAGTCTGCTACAAATTAACTTGCTTACACCCCCAGTTTGCATTTCCAGTGATTCAACGCAGCACTAAATCATTGAATCACTAAACAGAGTGCATTTATTGACTATCGAGTAATGAAAGTTAAATTCACTTGCGCAACAGACTCAAGACCTTACGAGTATTCCCCAAGCATTGAGCTATTCCATACCTGCGCAATGGATGTGAAGCATTCTAACAATGGAAAGAGATCTTTGTCTGAGTTTGAAAGCTGTTGCCACTTTGCAATAAGTGGAGGCATCAGAATCTCAAGACAAGCAGGCTGCACAGGATCCAATATAAAATCGGCAACACAAGTTAGATAAAAGGACTGGTATATGCAAGTTGAAAATTAACAGAAGGGCTAAATCGAGGACAAAAAAAACTGGGGATAAGCACAATCATCTACCTTGTTTAGCTCCCCTCCAACAGAATCTGCCAGTGTTCCAATAGCATCATAAACAATTCTTAAGTTCCGCCTCTGGATGTAAAATTATTGCATGTTATGATAGATTTGAACAAAAATAGCCGCCTTAAATATTTAACTCCAGTAAGATAGAGTAGTTAGCTCCAGGAGAATCAAACAACCTGATACTTTCCAAATGCGCACATTAGATGCTGCAATATTACTCCCAAGTGAGGCACTAACTCTTCAGCAGCCTCCTGCAGGTTAATAGAAATTTGCATGGTCAATCATCATCCAAAGCAGATATGACACCCCCCCCCCCAAACGTAGGTACCTCTTCAAGAGTTGCAAAAGCAGAACAAGCAGCTTCCTGGACCCGCTTGTTTGTATCCAAGAGTCTCTGAAGAAGACCCGTAAGCACTTTCTCGAACTGTTCATAGCCCTTCTGATGGCCAATTTCCTGGAAAAGAACAGGGAATCATTTAACAAGTCTGCTTGGGCCATATAAAGGGAGATATATCATGTGCAAGTCATACCTGGATTATATACTTGCTAAATCGAGACAGAGTCCAGCAAGATATGCTTCGAATGAGAGGGAACTTATCATCTAAAAGCGGGATTAGAAATGCTACAATCTGCAAAAATGAAGTTCAAGCACCTTCATGTCACTGATGTCGGTAACTGAATGATCACGACAAAGACTAACAACAAACTTGCCTCAGAGAGATGAGGATAAAGACCATTAATGCAGCCTTCAGCAATGGCTCCAAGAGACAAAACGGCAGCCTCTCTTTCTTTCCAAGATTCATCACCAGCAGTCGACAGTTTTGCCTGCAAAACATTAATTTAGCCTGGTTCCTTGTGTTCATTCCGCAAGACTGAAGATTTAAACAGAAAATTTTACATGAGACATCAGTAATCAAATCTTAACACTATACAAAGTTCCGTTACACTAATGCACAGCTAACGCCTTCCTGAACAGAAAAACAGTGATATACATGTGCAGAAAAATGAAAAAAAAAAGACAGAACAATAACCTGAATAAGGGGCATGAGTGTTGGAAGGATCCCATCTCCAAAAACATTAGAGAGAATGTCAACAGCTGCTGCACTGCACTTCCTTAAATTCCACACATTATATGAATCATCGTCCTGTACCCGAAGAAGGTCATTGTAGCAGGATCAACAGATCCGATATTTGCATCACACAATTCAGAAGCAACAAATGCACCACCATATTTTCAACTAAAATGAGGGAAAGGAAAGTCAGCCACATACATCGTCATCAACATCCTCTGATCCATGAAACTTCGATGTATGAAAGCGTGGTTTCAAGTCCTGTAACGTGAAACACCATGAACGACAGCTGAAGAGAATGGATATGTGTGTGTGTGTGTGTGTGTGTGCACGCACGCATGCCTGTGAAAAACATCAATTTCACTAAGGACAATCAATAGTACCTGGTCCCGGTCTGGTTCAGATTCATCCTCCTGAAAAAGTGAACGGTTTCGCATGACATACAACAGTCAAGTTTATTGATAAAGAATGTAAAACACAAAAAATAACAAAAAACCCACCTCTGCTTCCAAAAGTGACTCATCGTCATCTGCATAAGCCATGTTTGAAAGCAAAACCTGCAACAGGTATCAAAAATATTTTAAAATGATTAATTTTATACCAACTCAATGTACATTTCAGATGCCTAAGTCCAAACCAAAACCAGAACAAGTATCAACATACTGGTATTAGACGAGGCAGGAATTCTTTTAAGTTCTCTGGCGGCAGTTGAGCATCACAATATGCAGACCTGCCAAGCCAAATATACTTTGAGAATTGAGATAGGCTCAGGAGAGAAGTTACAGCAGATGGACATCTTGAGGAACAGGACCACACCACTGCTTAACAAAGTTACAAAATAAAGAGCTAAGTTAACATATCATCATAAGAATGGAAATCACCAGAATTCACATGCTTCAAGAGCCACTTCTTCATCAGGGTCCTTGTTCACTTGTAGAATGTATTCTATGACATTCCTGAGATGCGGCTGAATGAAAGAATATGTGTCAAATGCAAAACAGGATATCCACAGAAGATAGACAATAAAATGAGATTACGGATTTCACCGCCAAAGCCTAGATGCATGATTGAGGCAAGGGTCTAATAGATGATTGAGAACCAGATGTAAGACCCTCACATAAACAGGGGCAATACTAGAAAAAAAAATCTAAGGAACGTATACATTAAAGGCACAACGAAGTACAAACCTCTAAGAACGAGGGACAGATTTCAATAAGCTGTACAAATGCTGCACAGACCTGCCAAGCATATAAGGAGAAAAATAATCAACAGAAGCATAATAACTACAAAATTAAATTGGGAGTCTGATCAGAACATATGACAGCTAAAGTGTCCAATGCAAAATCACAAAACTGGTTTCCTTTTTCTTATTAGAGAGTGCGTAACTAAATGGAGAAAACCAATTTTATGTCCTCAAATTCATTATGAAATCAAACCAATACTAGGAGACTAACACCAAAAGGTCAAAAGACTTAATAGGCCATCCGGCAAGAATGATTTACCAATTTTCTGACTTCTGCAGCAGGATCATTTGCAAGGACAAACAAACCCTGAAGATACTTATCCATGGAATGATACAAAGCCTGCAAAACATAAGACTGTCAGAATCTAAGTCTCTCCATAAGTCCATATCATACATCGGAGTCTATAAAAGTAGTTATCCATATACTTACAGCAGGCATTATGATGATATATTGGTTTACAGAACCCAAGGCAAGCTTCCTCAGTGAGGTATGAGGCGACTGGAAAAACTGCTCAAGTGAAACAAAGCTAAAAATTAAACTCACAAAACCAATTCTAGAGGAAGAAAACTAATTAAACTGGAACATTGCATGCTTTTCAACTGACTCAACATATCTGTGCAGCAAGAACAGAATCGGATACTAACATGAAATAGCCTAGGGAGGAGAATGTTGATAGGGCGTTCCGCTAAGCCAGGCACTTCTGAATCCAAGACTTGAGGAACATCCTCACAAACCTGTAAAATAAATTATTGGAAACATCAGTTTCCACAACTCGAACTTCAGGATAAACCCACGAAGAAACCTCACATCAGCATTACTTGGACTTAAGACTCATACCTTCGACAAAGCGTCCATGGCACCCTCCATATGATTCAGGTCATTACTGTCTAAACAATTTACAAGAGCTGGCAAAAGCTCAGGCCATCCAGAGACCCCCTCTAGTTGAACAATAACACTTATAATAGTTCCAACTGTTGTCCGAATTTGCCTGTCTGCTGCTCCCAAACAAGGCAGCAACTCTGACTTGATATATTTTTGGTTTTCTGGAGCCATGGATGCATATGCACCCCTTAGATTATTTTTCAGAAGCAACCCAGCAGCTTGCCTAACCTCTATGGACCTACCCTGATTATTTTACCAGTACACATTAGCAATGGCACAGAGATTCAGGCGTAATAAAACAGAACCTAAACGAATGATAACCACAATGGAGCGTTCCAAGAACAAAATTTCCAAGGTTCAACTCTTCAAATGTCATTAAAGGTCACTAGAAAAATTGTGTACACATAACATTGTTCTCTTGAGATTCGGGAATAAATGTAATCAAAGGCAATTAGGAAACGAGAATCGATCCAACTACAAAAATTAGGCAACATAAGCACGAGATGTTGAGACAAAATCCAATACGACCAAAACACAGACAAGGGCAACTCGGAATCAGACCTAGAAAACTCAGGTCTTTGGAACTAAACCTATGCAATGCAACACCCATAATTCTCCAACACATCGGAACAATCCGACAGAAACGCATATTACTAGTAAACAGAGAAACTAACAGAACCCAATAGCGAAACGAAGAAAACGATCCGGAACTCCAAAAGCCATGACAAAACGAGTTAGCTAGCGAAAAAAGAAGCCATCATCCCCACAAGTAGATTTAGTCAATTGCAAGGCAGGCAGAGAAACCACAGCCAGATGATTTTCTCGGGAAACGAACAGAAAAAGAGCGATAGAAAGGAACCTCGGCGCGAACGAGGATGAAGACGAGGTAGTTATTGAAATCGGGGAACTGAGAGAAGTGCTGAAGCTGCTGCCAAATCTGGGATTTGTCGACGGTGGAGGAAGGAGAAATCTGCTGCTCGAGGAGACCGCAGATCCCGGCGAGGCCATCATCCCGGGGCTGCCATGAAGCCGGAGCCGCCGCCATGATTGGTGACAATCTGGTAAATTCAGTCGTCGAGAGAGAGAAGAAAAAAGGAATTTGGTTCTTTGGACAAAAACACAGCGGAATGAGGGAGGAGGCTAAGTTTGGTTTTTGACGAGTTTCATTTTTTCTATTTTTGTAAATAATAATAATAATAATAAAGTCTGAAACGACTGTTTCTATGTTTTCTTAGTCTGTAGTGCCTACCAACACACGCGCGAGGCGAGCTTCGACTCGCTCTTTTTCCCCGATGTCTTTGTTCATTATTTTTTTTCCAGATGAAAAAAAGAAAAAGAGAAATAACTTTTTTACCCCCTTTTTGATGTAGTTATATTTATTTATGTGTGGGGTAAATTTATTGAGCTTTGTCCAAGGGAGGTGAACCGGAATCACCGGTTCGGTAAATTTATCAGTTTTTTATTGGATGAAATATTGCTTCATCTCTTATCTTGGCTCATCTCTTATTCAATTCAGATCGAATCCTTATTTACTAAAAACATGTTTATTTTTTAAATCTGTTTTTATCGATTATTCTCATATTCGTTTCATGTTCGGTTATAATTTGTTTAGACTAAAGTTACATCAAATCAATTTTTATATCACTTGTAGCATAGATATGATTGGATACTGTTTAGTTTGATTTAATTCTATATATACTAAAGGATTCGACTATCATGATCTATAATAAAACAACAAAATATATTAATATTGGAGAATATGTGTACTCCGTGAGTACTCTTCAAACGTATTGACTTCAAAATCATGAATGCCCACCAACGGAAATTAAAATAAAACCCTAGATGTCCTAAAATGATAAAGATAGATAAAAAAAACAGAGAGAGAGAGAGAGAGACGAAATTAAATGAAATAAAATCACGTGACTAGAGGATTTAATTTAACATCTATAGGCAGCTTAACATTTCTCTCATCAGATACCTTATGAAATGAATGTCGTATTAAATCACATTGATTTTTTTTTTTTTTTTGTAATGGAACATAGATTAAATTTCCGGTATGAGAACCGGTTTAGGAGCAAAATACACCAAACCGGATGAGAGGAGGCGGTAGGCACATGAGCTGTGGACCAACCTGATTATAAATCATTTGAATGTGCTTTATCAGTGGGGCCTCCATCAAAAATTATTGGAAGAGCATCTTTTTGGTCTGATTGCACGGGCATTTTTACCCTAACCATCATCAACATCATCCTCCCCATCATCATCATCATCATCATCATCATCATTGACCCATCTCCTTACAAAATTAGTTACACCAGATTTCACAGAATTGTCTTGGAATCACTCAGAGCACATAAGTAAAATTTCATATATATATATTAATGAAAAGCAGTGTGTTTTGGCTTTGGATTAAAGGAGAATAAAAGTCTTAGGGTTTAGAGGAATGAAGAGTACCTTCAGTGGGGCATTGTGGGAAGCTTTTCTTCAGGAGGAAGCAACAAAAAAAAGCTCGTGCCCTGAAAAATTCACCACTGTTTTTGACACAGACAAGACATCTCTCCACTTGAATCATTACTTGTTCTTGTCAAATCTCATCTCAGTGAGCTTTTGCAAAGGATGATGATGATGATAATGATGATCCATTAACCAAAGGGGAAAAGTACAGCATATGAGTTCTTCTCCTTTTGTCTCCATGCAAAAGGAACCATGAGCTTAAGCTTAATCAGATCATCCAGTAACCAATGGATTTCAAATGAAAATCCCAGGATCTTGAAGACTTGATAACTGTTTTATCTCCTGCATATCCAACCACTGAATGTTATGGCTATTTATGTTTTCATCAATGCGTGTAAGATTTGATGAAGCAAAACTATGACATAGCCTTTCTTGACCTTTGCATGAACACTAGGGTAAGATATTTCGCGCTCCAGAGCGATCATGCTGCCAAGAAAGATCATTTCTGGTTCTTGGCTGCCTGTTCATGAGGAAGTAACCCAGTAGAAAGCATGAAATAACCCATCAGAAGGAAAAAAAATCACTTTCATAAACTCGAGAGCTGGCAGAATACAAGTTTCAATCTCACGGGCAATGGCCAAGATACAAAACAGAGTATGTGTGTGAGATGCACAATATAAAACCAAGTACATTTATGAATTAGAATTCCCAGAACCAAAATCATTGGAAAATAAATGGGCATGAGAAGTAGAAAAAGCTTTATAAATAAAAATATATTTTGATGTGCTGACTATACCTTTCGTAGTTTCTCCAATACCGTGTCCTCGTAAGCCCGATAACCAGCCCCTACTATGTTGCTCCGTGGCTCAGCCTCTACGGAGTTTTCAACAGTGGGAAATTCCCTTTGGGCTGCTCGCTGAAGAGGTACAACATGCAATGGATTAGAGAGATCGTCGCACAATGTTCCCATGGCAGCATCCTGAGAGAACGGAAACAAACACAAGATTGAACATCAGTTTGAAACATAGGCAAATAGCTTAAACTATAAGAACAGATGTAACAAGTAATCCTTACTGCTCCATCCTTGGTGGCGATGACAACAAGGGCAGAACTTTTCTTCTTGGTACTCCTAATCAACCTCGTCAAATTCCAAAAACACTTCTCTGAGTCTATCCACATTGTAACCTTCACTGAGTTTCTCCCATGAAACCTTCAACGTTCTCTCCTTATCCAATTGAAACCCAACACCAGCATCCCCACTATCCGACTATCGTACTTTCTCTTTCCATCACTCTCTGGAGTTTCAGAAGCACGGTTTCTCTTTGCATGTTTTGCTCGTGTTCTGTTTATCTCCTCCTTCCTTGCAATTCTTTCCTCTTCGTCATGGACTCTGGCAGCCGGATCAGGAATAAAACCAGACCGTTCCCTTTCTTCCAAATCTGACATCATCTTACGCCTTTTGGAGTCCATCTGTGATTGTCTCTTCTGTTTTTCACGCTTGACCCTGAGAAGATCGTCGAACAACTTCCGAGCCTTTTCATCTTTGAGGATCTCGTAGGATGTCTTCAGCTTCTGAAACTTCTCATGAGCATCCGTATCATCTGGGCCGTTTATCCGGATGCAGCTCCAACGCTTTCAACTTGTATGCTTTTGCAATCTCCTTCTCACTAAGCTTCATACCCTCCTCACTGGAGAGTAACCCTAGAACAACATAGTGATTGACAAAAACCTCCATTTCTTCTGCGTGTTTCCACCCTGCTTTAGTTAACCACACAAGACAAGGGAGTTAATAATCTAAGCAAAGCTGTCAAAGAGCAAACCTACTCAAAATTCGAAACAACATAACCCGAACAAGTATATCTGCGTTTGAGCAACCCAAATTTTGCAAAAGATTCAACTTACGGAAACAATAATAAAGCTGCATCAGCCTGGAAAATCCTAAAAAGTTTCTACGAAAACAATATAATGCCCTTTTAGGGTTCTTCCTTCCTCTTACCCATGCAGAGAAGTTCCCCTAACCAAAAAACAAAAACAGACAAGAATATTATCAATACGCACAGGTAAACGCAGATGAGAAGTACCTTCCGGTACTCTCTGAGACGCTGAATCAAGAGTTTCAGTAACAATATATGAAGACTTTGAACAAAAAATTTCAGAACTTTAACATAAACTAGGAACAGAAAAGCTGAATTGTTCCCGGGGCAGACAAACAGAAAAATTCCCAGAAAAGTTGAGCAAATTCGATCCAAGTCTAGAAACCAAACCACCCAATTTCTCATAATAGCTCCGAAAAATTTCGATCAATACACCAGAATCCATATTAGCCATCCAGTAAACTTCTATCCACAGACCAGGAAAGGGCAAATGTTTCGAAACCCTAGTTAGACAATCGGAACGCGAACTGTTCAGCAAGAACCCTAATTTAAAGCCCTAGCTCAACACAGAACAACTGAGACAATTCCAAAATTCAAAACCCAGGTCTAACAAATCAAATCAAATCAACACAAACACTAAATCGAAAATCTTCTAAAAAGTTGAATGAATCCACCACAAAACTTACCAGAACCGTCTCCAATTCGAATCTAGTCGTTGAGCGGTAAGAGCGAGAGAGCGTGAAAGAGAATTGGAATTGGACCGAAATATTTATCTTTAGTTATTATAACTTAAATCCTGAAAATAAAAAAGTTTACATATCTAAAATTAAATATATATTACGTTGTCTTGCGGATTAAAAAATCATCAAAATTTGAGGAATTCTTTTGAAATGAGGATATTAATTACAAATTTTAAATTTTATGTGTTTGATTGCATTTATTTATCCGATATATATTTTAGGAGGTCGAAACGGTCATTATCAAAAATACTTTTACTTTGTTATTTTTATTTTAACACATAATTTTGTCGGTTGTGACCATGTGACCAATTTGACCCAAAATATAGTGTGGTCACATGTTGATTCCATTGCTTATAACATTAAATTTATGATGTTTTAGTCAAATAATTAGTAAGATATATAAGTTACATAATGAATTAGTAAGACCATAAATTTAACGTTATAATCAATAAAATTAAATTGTGACCACACTATATTTTGAATCACATTGATCACAACGGGAGAAGGGTATATGTTGAAATAAGAATAGCAAAATAAGGTATGTCGGTCGAAACACTGATTTGACATATATTTTAGGAGTGATTGGTAGTAAATTTTTTATGTATATAATAATCTATAATTACAATAAAAAAATTAAAATTATATCCTAAATAATCTAAAAATCTCTTAAATGCATAAACCACTTCTTCCTGAAGACATTCCGGTGTTGAGACAGACATTGATAAGAATCAGAAACACAGCGACCAAACCAGAAAGTGTTCAAGAACAAGTCTCGCATGTATGTACTGTTTGTTGCAAGAACACAGATGGCTATGATGATGACGAACTAAACAACAGTCACAATTACAAACATCCCATCAGGAAGAAAGAACAAAGAAAGGGATCTTCCCTTCCTTCTTTCGGGTCCTTCTGTCTCAGCGAGCTGCTTCGACCAGACCATTCAAATGTACAATTCGACACCCTTCTTCTGCTACCGCTGCCCTCCCTCGATGCAAGATTGGCTCTCGGCTTTTCTCACGTTCTCTCCATAAGCCACGAGCTCACTGTACATCTTCAGAGAGGCCTTGGAGAATTCTGTCACCGACTCGAAGACAGCCGCAAAACCTGTCTGAAAGCCACCCAGTGTGATTCTCTGTGTTTCTTGCATGTAGTTATGGTGCTTCTCCTTCTCCATTTCCAGCTTTTCCCTGAGGAAATTCAACTGGTCGTCGTTCTTCTCTGTGATCCACTCACTCTGCTTCTCCATCTCCGACTCTGATTTCTCTTCTTCGGTAGGTTTGAACTCCAAAAGCCGAGTCTCTACCTTCTGGGACACTCCTGTCCTTCTATCCAGTTCCTTTGCTAACCCATCCACTTTCCTCTTCTGTTGCTGCTCCTCCCCCTGTTGTGTCCACAATGCCCTAACGTCCTTTGAGAAGCTTTTCAAAGCGTAGGCCACGCCCTTGTGGGGTAACTTCTCCATGAAAGATAACCAGTCTCGGCACATGATGAGCAATGGCGGCCCACTCGCTTGGATAGGCAGTCCCGACCCTCTTCCCCTCGAGTAAAACTCGACTTCAGGAACCAAGAACTTGCTTAGCCAGCCATGGAGAGCTTCCACATAAGCTCTCTGTGCAGATACATACTTAGTGAAGCATTCCCGCCAGTTCAGCAACTCAGCCTCCAGCTGCAGGGTGGCTAGCCGGTGAGAGTCGTTACAGAACTTCCCGTAGGATGGACAAGCAAAAGTCTTCACTTCATGGACAATCTTGCTCTGGGTTTCATGTGATTCCATCATGACTCTCCATGTTTGTGTCAGGCTGCATCAAGAGAATAGACTAAATCAAAATCATAATCCAACGATGAAACATTTCCCGGGAAAACGAAAACAGTCACACAGAAAGCATACCCTTTAAGCAATTCTATAATCTGAGGTTGCAGCTCTTCATCCCTCAAATCTTGAATTCTCTTGGATATCGTCTCTGCACTTCGAACTGCAACCAAGATCCTCGCGTATAGATCTTTAACCGAAGCTCTGGTTTTGTCTGCAGTGAGATCCTCGTACCCTTTCGCGTCCTGGTTTATCAATCTCGCACATTTTTTCTCGTAAATCTTCCTTGTGCTATCTCCAGCCTGAGACAACAGGACAAGATCACTCACTGCCTTTGAACACAAGAAACACATCGAGATGCCAACTGAACTCAACTCACCTTAACCTCTTCGAATAGTTTCTTTTCCCAAGCATATATCCTTCCGAGGGTCAGAGAATGGCTCCCAGAATCCATTCCTCCATAATCATCAAACAGATCATTGCTATACTCAGTCCACATCGAGCTGCTTTTAGAACTTGACGCCGCCAGGCTCTTGCAAGAAGAAGGCTTCAGAGACGTGGACCGATGCCACGCAATAGCTTGTATCAATTTTGTGGAGTTTTCTGCATTAATCAAGTGATTCAATGGAATCAGCAACCATCAGAGGGCATAGGGCATATGGCAAGCAAAGGTTTGGTTTATGATTCTGCTTGCTTCATGCATATATAGACCTTCCAAAATGGGTTTGAAAAGAAAAGAGTGGCAAAGAACAAGTAAAAGGTGGAGCCAGAAGAAAAGCTTTACAGCTTTTGCCGCAAAGGAAACAGTGCAAATCCATCAGCATAACATCTGAGAGCATCGACTTTGAAACCAATTCTTAGATTCAAACACAGCGAAACAAGGAATCAGCTTTAACTGAGACAGTGGTAGTTCTAAGTGGATTATGCAACTTTAATGGAGAAAACCCACCTCTGATTTCCTCCGTACCAGACTCCAACCTGGTCATGTTTGCCTCCAGCATTCTGGATACGTCTTTGCCTGAGTTATAAGCCCTAACAAAGTAACCTTCAACGCCCTTCAATGCATCAAGAAGCTCTATTCCCATTTCAGGGTTATCTATAACCGTAAGACCCTTCTGTTCTGTCTGAATCAGACCATTGACACCGTTAGACCCATCCATCTTCACCATCTCATCACCATTGTTCTCACGGCGCTCCTTGTCAGTATTAGCACCGCATTTTTCTTCAACGGACACCATTTTCTTCTCTTCTCCTTCTTCCTCTAGATCAGGAATCCCTTCTTGTTCCCTAACAACCCTCAAATGATCATCCTCATCACCGCTCAGACATCTCTGGTAAGGATTCACAACCTCTGTCCTCATTGTGTCAAAAGGGTAGAAAAAATCCCAACCAAAATCCCTCTGTGGAGATGGCATGGGCGGAGGCATTTGCATGTAGAAATACCCAAAAGGTTGCTCCTTTCCTTCTCGTTTCTCCACATCACCCTCAGACCTTGTCTCTCCTCCTCCTTCCTCTTCTTCTTCTTCTTCTTCTGAAGAAATCGGAGTTGACGACCCACTAGACCTACACTTGACGGCTTCATGGTTTGCCTCTGAAGGCGCCTGTTGAAGGAACATAGGGTTGGTTATGACTTTCTGGTGATCACTCGGTGGCAATGGCGGAGAGGGACATGGAGGAGGGAAAGTGATGAGAAATGGTGAGGGAGGAGAAGAATGCCTCGCGACGAACAGTTTAATGGCGGCTGAAACAGCGTAGAGAGATTGACAGTACCTGCAATGTGCATCTGCAAGCGCATATCTTCTCTCTACTGCTAGCTTTATCAACCGTTTTCTTTCTCTGCAAATGGACACAACTTCTTCTTCCTCCTCAAGCTTTGAGGCAACACACCCCATTTTATTTATCTAACCAAAAAAGGAACCCCACCCCACAGTTTCAGAAGACTGTTCCAAGGGGTAAAGAGCCAGAGAAGGAGATAGAGAAAGCGTGGGCGAACAAAAAAAGGGTGGAGACCTCAGAGGAATCTCTCGTTGTCTTTGCTCTCTAGTTTTCGAGGCAAAGTTGGCAACTTGTTTTGATATTCACGAAAGTTTCTGAGAAACCAAGAAGGGGAAAGAGAGTGAAAGAAATTGAAGCTGCTTTCTGAGATTGCCATTTCCATACACACGTGAAAGACAAAATGTAAATCTAAAACCTTCCCTTTTCATGAAGGAATGGTAATAATCTCCATGGCATTATCACAAGCAAACCCAACTGTTATTCAGCAGAGCTACATACAGTACAGTGATGAGTTTTTACTGGTCACTGCTGCCATAAATCTTTCCACTGTTCACAGTGGTGATTCTGGTGAAGCTGAGGTCCATGCAGAGAGAGAGAGAGAGAGAGAGAGAGAGAGGGAGAGAGAAGGTAGGGGCTCGAGAAAGAGAGAGAGGGTGTCATCTTGTGATTTTGTACTGTTAATTAAAATTTTACGTAAAGCTAAGACCAAAAAAAAATAGAGAGCGTCTGGGAGGTGACAATATCTTTTAACCATAATCGCATGAATCAATACAATAATCTCTATCTATCCATTATGTATCTTTCTTTTGATACTCTTCATTGACATAAGTATTCTTTTAATTTATAATTTAGACAAATGTTTTTTGTTATTCGATGTAGCAATTCATCATACTGTACTATAAAACGATAGTAAAAAGTATATAATTATATCTAAATTAAATTAATCGAATTTAAAAATTCAAATATTGTTTAAAAACAAACACTATTGATAGCAAATCGGAAAATAAACAAATAAATATTATTTGAATAAAATCAAATTGAAATATAACCAAATACTAAAACAGTATTTATTTATTGGGTAAAGTCGAAAAACAAATATATATATATATATATATCATTTGATTGAACAAATGGTTAAGGTTTTAATAAACTTATATGTTGTGTCTATGAAAATGTAAAAATGGGAGAGAGAGAGAGAGAGAGAGAGAGAGAGAGAGAGAGAGAGAGAGAGAGAGAGAGAAGCCTTAAGACCTTTGTTGTCCTTTTTCTCTATCTTTTGTCCTTAACGGATGTGACTTGACCATACCTCTTTGCCCTCTGTCTCTTCCTCTTACAAACTTTTGTCCTTTTCCTGTCAATTCTTTTCAATTCAATCTCTTGTCTAATTACATTTAACATTCATTTAAAAAACAACAATCGTTTATGTATTTCAGTTCTTCTTGATTTAACTTGGCTTCAATTTTCTTGAGTTTCTGAAACATTGGATTGGATTCGAATTGAAACAAATTATAATATTTTACATAAAATACTTTTTGACAATATTATATGTAATTAATTTCCCAATCATACTAAACTAAAAGTATAGGTATATGTTATATTATTTATTTTATTAAAAAATCTTGAATTATTATTATTAAAGATATATATTATTTTCAAAAACATAATTCCTAAAAATTATTTATTTAGTATTTTAATAATTTAGTATATATTTGATTTATTTCGCCTCTAATTACGACGCTTGATTTCACCTTTTAGTCAACAACTTTTTAAAATAATGTGTAGTTTAATATTAAGTCCATTTTTTTTATCATAAATAAAATATACATAATTAATTACGTTAAAATATACAGTTTCGATGTTTCTTGGAATATATAATTTAGTTATTTACCAAAAAAAATATATAATTTAGTTATTTATATATTAGTTACGAAATAGACAGAAGATTCCCCCAAAGTTCTATGTGGGCTAAAGTAGGGGTTTAGTTTAGGCTCTCTATCTTGGATTTGGTGTCTCTATCTTCAGTTTTTATTATTTTTTATTTTTATATTCGGTTAATCCTACAAAAAAAAATCTCAAACTTATTAAAATATTTAATATAAAATTCTAAACTTACAATCTCCCATAAAAAAAATATGAATTTGGTAAAAACTTACACAAAAATTATAAACTTATCATTTTCTTTCATATAAAAACTTTGACAAATTTTTCCAAAATTTTCACTAAACACGACAAATTGGTGACAGCGTCATATCATCATTTTAAAAATTAAAACATAAATTTATAATTTTTGATCAAATATATATACATATATATTTGTAGATATATTAAGTTTCTAATTTAAAATTATAAATATATAAATATATATACATATACTTATATACATATTTTTTTCAAATATATATATATATATATATATTAAGTTTGTAATTTAAAATTTAAAATATACAAATATTTTAATCAAATATATAAAGTTACAATATATAAATATATTTTAATCAAATGTGTAAATATATATATATATATTTTATCAAACATTTTAATTTTTAAAATAATAATGTGTGCCGCTGACGTGACAATTCAATCAGCACCATGCTAGCAATCTATCTTGCCAGTCAATAAAATTTATGGTCAAACAACTCAAATATTTTATATAGAAGAAAATAATAAATTTATAATTTTGTAGAAATTTTTACCAAATTCAGAATTTTTTGTGGGAGATTGTAAGTTCAGGATTTTATATAGAATATTTTAATAAGTTTTAAGTTTTTTTGTGGGACTAACCTTTTTATATCATATTTAAGTTGTTTTTTCAATGAGTAATTTACAAAAATAGCATATAGAAAACTATCATATGATGATGATGATGATGATGATTTAAATTCAGTCATTTTCTGCTTGGTTCTTGCTTATGTGTATTAAGCTGTTTGGTGCATCTGTTGGTCCGATGTGGCACTTTTAATTTATATAACAGTTAAATGTCAAAGAGTCATAGATATAAAACCATAATTTAAATTGTTTTGCAAAAATCAATCACTTTTTTTAATATTGTTTATAATGTAATTAAGACACTAGACTAAAAAAAGGGATCATGGATAGTAAGATAACCATTTCATTTTTTTATGGTATAAAATAGTATGAATAATCATATTCAAATGAATTATATATAATATTAAAAACCAAATTTTCTAATCGAATATTATATAAATAAAAAAAATGATTGATAATGAATTTTTATAAAAAAAAAAGTATGAGTATTTTTTAATAATGACATAAATATTAGACCAAATTATTTTTTTAGAGCAAAAATGCTAATTCACTTTAAATGATACATACCGAAAAGGTTTTAGTCTTAAAAAACAAGCACAACAATTGTGCTTTCATCCCTAATTATATCGCCACTATATTTGTTAGGGCATGTAAGATTTATCACTAATACCTCACCTAACCTAAGTTTTTATATGATATTTATCCCTCTTGGTTTTCTATTTAATAACAAATAAATAAATGTTTCTCTTGGTGTGGGGTATGTACGGTTAGTTAAAATACACTTTCTTCAAACCACCTCGGCATTGGGAGGAGTCAACCACAATAGTGGCATTGGAGACTGTTTTTCTTTGTATTTTTTATTTATTTATAATATATCCAAAAAAACCCATTGAAAATATTCTAATCATATCATGTTTGTAATTTTATTTCATATTGATTTAGTTTTGGTTTAATTAATTTAATTAATAAAAGTTATATCTTAGATCGAATTCAATATTACATATTATTGATTCCATTTCACTCGTATATATATATATATATATATTAAAAATGAAATTATAAATTATAAAAGATCAATGTATGAATTGTTTAAAAAACTAAGGGGGAAGATAGGTTTATGGGCCGTGAGAGGAGAATATGCCAGACTGACTACTGACATCGCCTGACAAAGTCTTTAGGCCTACCTACCTGCAGAAAGGCCCTCTTTATGTTCTTATATTATTATAATTTATACCTGTAAATACGCTATGTAATTATTTATATAACATTTGCTGTCACTAATGGAATCTGTTATCTAATCTCTATTAGCAACTTCTTCTTTGAGTAATTTATTAATTAGACAATCAAATTTGATTGTCCATTTTAGAATGTACGTGATATCGAGATGGGCCTATTAACCAAGCCCACAAAAACGAAAAATTTTCAATTTTGAAACCCGTTTGAATTTTAATCTATTTTTCCTTGTTTGTTGAAGCTAAACTTGGTGGTGGTAATGGTGGATGTGATGATGGTGATGGTGATGATAGGAGCTCATATCCTGATTGATTTGATAACATGTAGATGGTGGTCATTATCATGATGGTGATGATCATCATGCCATCCTCCAAATGGGTTTTCAGGTTATTTCCAACAACGAGTCTCTCACACGATCAGCTTACACCACTACACCGTTTTTTCTCTACAACACCGAAAGAAGAAACAAGAGGTTTGCTCAGTTTTTTTTTTTTTTGTAGAGATAGATCTTATATTGAGGTTGAAGGCATACCAGACAAGACAGAGAGAACTAGTATTGTATGCATTTGGTAACCTCGAGCCCCAAAAAATCAAGAGTCTCCGTTAACTTCGTGAAGCCACCTGGTCCGTATTCACATTTACCTTAGCCACGTCCACCTATGGCTTAAACACACCGCCATCCTTCATGAGTTTATTGTTAGCTCCAGTATCTTATCTAAATTGATCTGACTCATTCTTAGTGTCTATAAATTCTTTTCAAGCCCCTTTGCCTCTTTCTCTAACTCCTTGATGAAAACAACGACGTCCCCGAGTATAGATGTCTTGTCCAACTACATGCCACCAAAGGGTTTAAGCGTTTATGGGACAAAATAGAAACCCGGTTCCAAGAAGTCTGGAGCGATACCTTGGAAACATTAGGAACCAAAGAGCGAAAATCGTAGAGCTTACTTACTATTCAGCTCCCACCTTAGATCTTAAAAAACCCGGTTCTCCATTGTCTATAATTCACCACATATACATAAACTACATAATTTACAGAGAATTATCAGAACAAAAACTTGACCTAAACCTTGAATATTATCAGTAGGAATAGAGCGAATCATGAAATCAAACATGAAATAATCATCCAAATTGTTCAAACTGTGTATAAATCGCAAGAGAAGGCAACAAAACCCGAATAAGATATTTGAGAAGGAAGAGATGAGCTTTTCAAGGATGGCTCCCAAATTCCGTGGCATCAATCACATCACCAGATGACCCATTTCTCAGTACAACACAATATATGCATGTCTCTGTACATGTATACATGCGAGTGAGTGTATATATATATATATATATATATATATATATTGGGAGTGTGTTTTTTCTTATAATTCTTTTTTACTTGTTTTAAGAGAGAGATTGCTTGTTGCTTTGGTAGGTGAAGTGCATGCCTTGCATGAAATTATATATATCTCAGCTTATATCATATACTTGTAAATATGTATAGATAAAATAAAGTTAAAGTCTTTAGGTCTACCTACCTACAAAACATCCCTTTTATGTTATTACTATAATTTATGCTTATAAATATGCTATGTAATTATTTATAAACACTGTGAGAACGCGCTTAGGGTTATTTT